CCCCAAAACCCCAAAACCCCAAAACCCCACAAAAATCATTTTAATGATAACATTGATATTAGAGATATTTTATTTCATTTTGAAGTTAATATAAATGGACTAAGATAATTAAAACAGCCAATTGCCAAATAACGAGATGGATTAACTAGAGCAGTAGCCCATCGAAGATAATAGATAAGACTTTGAGATCTAAGTTGATGATAATGAAATTTATCAACTTCAAAAACTCTAGAGACATTAAGAGAGGCATCCAACATAGGAAGAGTACTTTAATGAGGAAATATCTGATTTTACTGATGGTAAATAACTTCTAATAATACAAACAATATTCAATATTTCTAATCATCAATATAATTAATTCTGTATAGAACTTGAAAAGGCATCACATTTTGCAATGCAAGAAGAAATGGAAGGTGCTATTGCGTCTAAGGATGCTCACATGCAGACCAATGTAAAGTATCTAAACTTCGATTGGTTCTCAATGCAAAACAAAGTCCGAACAATGGTGCTTAGTCTCATGAATCCTTTCCTTAGAAGAGCTGAAGAGGACAGAGCTACAGTTGCAGGAGTTAAATAGATCAACGATGGTTTAAAGAAAAAGGTGGATGAATTGCTATTTATCTCAGCCAAAATGACTACTAGAGGCGGGTAGATTGAGGAAATAGCAAGCAGAATGAACCAAGTTGAGGCAGATAAGAAAGTCTATGAAGCAAGAGTCGGATAAGAGTTAAAAGCTATGAGCAGTAATATCCAAATGTGCAATGAAAAGATAAGTGTGGTCACAAATCTATCAAACGGATTTAAGAAGTAAGGTGAAATCCTAAGAATGGAAGTATCCAGTTTCTATGAGGAAATTAATAAGGTAAAGGCTAATTTTTCAAAGGAGCTTCAAGCTTTTACTAAAGAACTGAGAATCATAGATCATACTTACGATTAAAAAGTCAAACATCTGCAAGAGTAATTTTAACTTGTTAAAGGCTACACAACTACTCATGAAGATGTAATTAAAAAGACTGATACTATTGTTGAGACCTATAAGAAGCAACTTGAAGAGCTATATGAAGGTCTTAATATAGCCTTGACTACGAAACTAGATTCCAGCATATTCAAAGGTGAATTGGATAAGATTTCTAAGGATGTTTACTTTGTCAAGGTCATAGCTTAGGATGTAGACAATACTATTAATCACATAGAACATTATCTAGACAAGTATCAGCAAGTTAAAACTCAGAATCAGATTACAGAGGCTATGGTTAATGTTTTACCTAGAAAGATGATTAAGAGACTCAAGAAGTACACATCTTAAAGATACAGTCTCTTTTTAGATGATATTAAGAGTAATGATTTAAATATGAAATCTACTCTGAATAAGGCTACATTTCATATACCCTAGATAAGAGATGTCCTAGTAAATAAAGCTGAAGGAAATCTAGTTATTGAAGAGGATCCCTCAGATCTTTTCAGAAGGACTGTAATGAATTAAACTCAGAACAGTCTACAAATTTCAACTGACAATAACAGAAATCAACTTAGCAAAAGGTATATCATTACTTATCCAGATCTTTCAAAACATGATTAAGAAAAATGTACTGTAAACATTAGGCCACAAGAAGAGTCATCATCTTGTGAAAGAGATTAAAGGTTTGGGGAAACCTTCAAGTCGATGAGATCTATGAGAAGTTCCAAAAGCAAATGGATCAAGCGTGAATCAGGTGCTTCAGGTCTAAACTCACCAATGAAGTTTAGAATGAAAAAAGCTTTGAAAATTCATAATCTTCCTAGAAGAAACCCTGACATATCAGTTAATGAGTTAGAAAATAGTGTTGAGAAGAGAAGGCTTGACCACAATGATCATAGTCATTCTAGATTAAATGCAAGCAAGAAGCACAGTAATAATGATCATAGGAAATCGATACAAGTAAGAGCTTCAAATGTGCATAATTAATTTGCCAAAGATAAAGTACTTGAAAGCTTTAAGCATGAATAGCATTTAGACTTAACAGATAGTGATAATTTCGATGTTATCAGTGAGAGAAAGATCGAGCTGGAAGATCTCAATGATGAGTTGCTCCTAAAGATTAAAGGAAATGATGAAGTTTTAGATAAGATAAGAGAAGAGCAAGCAGAGTTTAAGACATTGATAGAGATGCGAATTGAGATTCTAAGATCAGAGACCAGAGCCCATGTTGAAAATCAGCTTTACAACAAGCAAATAGAGTAAGTACATAATATTCATCACAATTTCCTTCATTTAGGATTGAAAATAAGTTGAAAGCTAAAGAAGAAGATTTAATAAGACTAATCTAAGTTTAAGAAGGGTTGCTGGAGAATGAGAAAGTCAGAAGGGCTAGAGAGAAATCTGATACAACTATAGAGATTAAAAAAGCTATTTAATCAGGAAAGAAGGCTTCAAAGCTCTGCGAAAATGTGCAGACAGGTCTTGATAATTTGGCTGAAATGATCAAGACTATTATTGAAACAACCTAAATATCCCAAGCCTTAGAAATTCAAGATGAAGTAGATAGAAAATCAATAGCTCTCATGGGATACTAGCTTGATAATAACAATCAATTCTTTTCCCACCCTCTTAACTAGGAGAAGAATACAAAGCAGGATAGGAAAAATAGTTTTTTCAATGATTCCAGTCTCATAACTGGTGGAAATGGAAACAACGATTCAAGCATGCTAATTGATCCATTGATCAATCAGATCAACAACCATTAGCAAACAGTTAACAGAACTCTCAATATTTCTAAGTCTCTGTAAAATCTCACAACTTTGAAGCCAAAATAACCCCTACTGAGAAATATAATGGAAAATAAATCCTCTAACAATGTAGTCTCAATTAATAAGGACTGCATAAGCTGTAGCAATTAAACTGCTATTGTGATAAAAGGATTCAAAATGGCATGCTTAAGTTATTAGTCATCTCCACTTACATTCAAGGGTCAAACTTATGATAGATAAGGCTTAATCAGTATTAAAGGACAAATTCTGAACAGAACATGGAATAGACTAAAATAAAAGGTGCCTTGGTGTATGGAAACAAATAACACTAGAGACACTGAGACTGATACAACTGATATGGATCACTAGAATTTTGTGAATAATACTTTGCTAGACAGAAGATACTTCGATGATCAGCCTTCTCTTAATCTATTTGACAATGAGATAATCAAAGGCATAAAAAACAATGAAACTATACTCTAGTAGGATCCCTTGCTAAAGTTAGATGACATCAAAATAGGAATGGAAAATTCAAATAAAAAGCAGTCACTTATCCTGCCAAAGATAGAAGCCAGAAATCTCCTCATAAATTCAAGTACTTCAGTTATTCAACTGCAGAAGGATTTTGAGCAAAGACAAAAACTAGTAATAGAAAACTATCAGACCCTTGGTGGTAACTTGAAGGATAAGAAACTTAGCTCAAAGACTATAATTAAAACAGTAAGAGCTGACCCTGATCAAATGAAGAACTAAAAGGAAGAATATAAATTAGCAGCTGGATTCATGACCTCCAGATCCATGTCAAAGCACACCCCTATGGGAAGATTATCAGCCTTCCACTAGAGCTAATCAGATATGCTTTCATCAGGACATATCGGAAGTGCTTTGATGGCGACAAGATCTATTACAAATTTGGATAGAACTGAAAATGACCAAGAACCCTAGAGTCCTTAGAGTGATATCGATAACAATTTAAATGAGACTAAAGAAGACAAAATAGGAAACTAGTACTTAAAGAGAATCATTTAATTCTCCAAGTAAAACGATAGTTCCTCAAAAATGCTTAAGAAACTTTGGAAATGATGAAATATCTCTAACATAGAAATTTGATTTAATTTCATGATTAATTCTAATACTCCAATTCTTTGCATAATATCTCCGATGTACGGGGTTTTGGGGTTTTGGGGTTTTGGGG